CCCCCCCTTCTCCGTTTGTATCAGATCGCCGCTAACTGAATAATAGGCAATGGAGCAAGTCATTGTTGGCCTCTTCACTGAAGTAAGGCGGCACAAGCCGAGTGTGATCTATATTCCAAACATTGACGCCTGGTACACGGTGCTGACTGGAACGCTGGCGCTGGTCACCTTCCGCACCATGTTGAGGTCTATCGCCCCGACGGATCCTGTACTCCTCATGGCCACCGCAGATTGTGAAAAGAAAGATCTTTCACAAGAGATGGTGCGCGACTTTTTCGGCTACTCTCGTAAAAACCAAATGCAGATATCGAGACCGAACAAGGTGAGAAAGGGCGCTGCGCCAATAACACTGTGAGCAAGGATCGCTAACACTCAGTAGGCCAATCGTATGGAGTATTTTTCGAAAACATTGGATTATGTGAAGCTGCAGCCTCGTGCCTTCCCAGATCTTGACAACCGGAAGAAGAGAGTTCTCGAGGAGCTCCCGGTAGCTCCTCCGGCACCTGTCAAGCCACCAACGAAAGACGAGGTGAAGGCTCTGAAGAAGAAAGATCATCAGCTCCTGAACGCCCTCAAGATTCAACTGCAGCCCATCATGGATCAGATCAATCGCAGATACAAGAAGTTCAGACAGCCAGTCCTTCAACAGAACCTGATTGAATACTTGTTCCTGGAGGCAGATCCGAACTATGTACGACCCGATCTGGCAGAAGGGGAGAACAGGCCCTTTGAAATTGTAAAGGATAAGCATGGAAATGACGTGCTGATGCACGTCGAGTCTGGCAAGTACTATTACAATCTCGAGACGACAACCATTGAAGAGCGCCTCTCGAACGGGTTCTATGCTCGCCCCAAGGACTTTTTGTTCGACATCAAGGCTCTGGCAAAGGATGCCAAGAACATTGGCGACAAGGAGCGCACTCTCAAGGCCAACGAGTTGCTCAGCAACGTCGAGGTAGATGTAGCGAGTATCGAAACCAGCACAGCCCACATCGACTGGGAAGCACTCTACCAGCGCCAGCAGCAGCGAGCCAAAGAGGCAGCAGAGAAGGAGCGAAAGCGAAAGGCCATGCAATCTGTATTAGAACGAGTCCAGTCGGATCTTGGCGGCGGCAATGACAGCGATTCGCAGGGCCCTCTCACCCTTGGGGAACCAGTGCCAGGGGCTCGCACCATGGCCCGCTTCCAGATACGAAGCCCCTTATCCAACGGACATGGCGAAGCTGGCCAAAATGGACACCCGCTTAGCAACGGCATCCCCACTCCGATCAAAGAGGGCGATGTTCAGATGAGCGGGACCGACGATGACACCCAGAACCTGACCCAATCCCAAACCTCTCCCATGGGCCCGCCGCCAAGATCACAGGAAGGGCCTTCCTCGATAAATTTGGCGGCTGGGGCAACACAGGTATCTCAGCGGTCTGCAATTACCACCCTGCCTCCTGGGATGTCACCGTCGGCTGTGATCAACGAGGCATCCACGACTAAGACGTCAGATCCGTCGACCCTTAGGTCTTCCAACTGGAGCACGCAGAACACAAATGGAAACCAAGAGCACGATGATGCGCTGCCGGACACGCTGGTAGTTGCACAGAACCAGAGCCAAATGTTACCGCATAACCAAAGCATCTTGTCATCTTCTAGTGAGATTTGGCCTCATACTCAGGCTAGGGGACCGGCTCTTGACGACAGCTCATCCGCTTCAATCATAAGCCGCCCGTCGCTCGATTCGCAAACCCACAAGAGTCCGGGAGGTGTGAAGTCGGTGATTAGCTTGCCGTCTCATGATGGAAGCTCGTCGGGGGACGCGGTTCGCAACTCGGGCTCGTCTTCTCAACCGTTGCAAGTGGAGGGGCAGATTGAAGAGCTTCTGCACAGAGTGGCAGAGTTCACCTCTGGCTGTACAATTGAGCAACTGGAACAAGTCAACCGTGAGATGATGGACGAGATATGGCGAAGCAGACATGAGTGGAACCGAGTCAAGGTGCTCGGGAACGTGTCGGCAGTGTTCAACGAAGTGATGAGCGACATTGAAAACATGCAGGGCGTGGATCCATTGAGTCAGCGAGAGGACATGGACGTGTAGGAACGTCTTTGACGAAGGAAGCGATAAGTTTGTTTCAATCTTTTGTCATCATCGCTAGAGCATTGGAGCGACCAAAAAATATGTGAGAGACATTATGCGGAATTGTTTCTTGTAAGATTGATTATGGATACTGGATTTGGGTTGGCACAGCGCTTTTTCTTCTTCTTCTCTTTCCCCCTTGTCTAATCTAGGTACTTTTTTCTTATTTTTGATCTTTCCCTTTTGTGTATGAAGAAAAAAAAATGGCAGACAGATTCTGAGGAAGTCAAAAGGACTGTTGGCTGAGGAGGGTGGCGCCGACAAAAAGGAGTGGCCCCGTGTTTGCCTAAAGCTTTGGAGTTTACAGGAACCCGTGCTTCTTATATTTTCCTTTTCTTTTCCCCTTTGCGTCTTTTTTTCTTTTTGAGATTCGTAATAGGAGATACCTTGAGGAAAACTAGATGTATAAGCTTATGGATACTATATACACTATGAACGATTGTCTCAAGGCAAAGGTGTGCTTCGTATACTTGTTTCATTGATATATGTGTCTCGATATCCTACAATGGCCGAGTCGACAATCTTTGCTCCAGCCAAGACCTAATTCCCTACAGCTCCATTTACCCAAACAACCGAAGCTTGCTCTACAACCCCATCCATTCTTCCAGAAGGAAAAGAAGGAGGAAAGAGAGAGAGGAAAAAACGCAATTACAATTTCGATTTAGTAGCGCTATCGACCCTCTGCCCCTCGTCGTCCTGCTCGGCGACGGTCAGGTCGGGCAGGCGGGCGGGCATGATGCGGCGCGGGCTGGAGCCCGGGACGACGCTGTACTTTGCAAAGTCGGTGACGCCCATGTGCTCGCGGAGGAAGTCCTCGTCGAGGACGAGCTCGCCGTTGACCTTTTCGGCGGGGGAGCGCAGGATGCCGAGGATGGCGTCGGAGAAGATGGTGGGCTTGCGGAGGTCCTTTTCCTCGCCGGGATTTTTCTTTGTGAATTGCTCGGTGGCGGCGGATTCGATTGCCTGTTTTTTTTTTTTTTTTTTTTTTAAATTAGGATGCTGATTTTATTTACGGTAGATACCTGTGTATGTATATATATGTATTGTTGGAGGTTTGTTTGTGTATGTAAATGTTACTTACCACGGCGGGCCAGATGCTTGTAATGGCCATGTCCTTGAGCCCTTCGCGCTGAAAGTCCATGGCCAGGCCCTTGGTCAGGACGCTCATGCCGATCTTGCCCATGGCGTAGGCGGTCTTGCCGCGGAAGAAGCGGCTGTAGATGGGCGGGCTGACGACGACGATGCGGCCGTGAGGGCGGAGGTGCGGGAGGGCGGCCTGGACGACGGCGTAGAGGCCCTCGGGGTTGACGCGCTGCATGAGCTGGAAGCGCTTGAGGGGCGAGTTTGCGACGGAAGCCCACCAGATGGCGCCCGAGTTGTAGACGAGGACGTCGAGGCGGCCGTATGTCTGGGGGAGTGAGAAAGAAGTATTTAGCATTGGTAGATGGTGATGGTGATGGTGTTGGTGGATTGGTGGGAAGGGGCTTTTTGTCGTCTTACAGCAATGGTCTTTGCGACGAGGGCATTCACGCTCTCCTCGGACCGCACGTCGACCTGGATGGGCGTGGCATCGCCGCCGGCAGAGGTGATTTCGCGGGCGACGGTGGTGATGGTTGAGTCGTTGGATTTTGGATTGGGGGTTTTATCGGTGAGCTTGGAAGGGTCCGTGATGGACTTTGCTGCCACGACGACTTGGATATTGTTAGTTTGCTTGGATGGACAGGTGAATTTAATGAGATGCTCTCACCTGCGTAGCCGTTGGTAGCCAGATCGACGGCGACTTGGCGACCGATTCCGCGAGAAGCTCCCACGACGATGGCTACGGGCTTTGAGCTGACCATTTTGGGTGGTGGTTTGGTGTTGTTTTACGTGTAAGAAGAGAGTGAGGGTGAGATGGTAAGATGAGGCTGCAAGCTGATGTGCTCAATTGCTTCTTCTTCTTCCTTTCAATTCAATTCACAAAGTGGAGAAGCAGACAGAACTTATAAGGCTGATGAATTTCCAGTAGTAGCTCTGAAGCATACCGAGCATGTCATCCCCCTCGGAACTTATAAATCGTTTCAATCAAGCTGGGCGTTGAAGCTGCCGAGATTGTGGAGCAACATGTTGAACCGTGGAGCTTCATTTTCCGATTACTCAACACCACCCGCTATGGATCAGGGGCGCTGATGCCTCGGTTCCGTGCTGATTACAGCGGCCCTCAGCGCTGCTGCCCCGCAAACTTACAGCGCGGCTATGCAGTGAAGCTGCGGAGGATTAGCAAATCGAGGTAAGCCGGGGGGGAAGCCTCATTGCTCGCCATCGCTGCCGTAGTATGGACTACAAGTACCAGGGCCGTCTTACATGTGCGCTTTCGCTCCTACTCCTCTCAATGCCCTTCGTGTTTGAATTCTGATTTTGTCATCATCGTCAATCACGCCATCTGCGGGAACCGATTCTCCTTGATCTTGATCTTGGGGGAAAAGCGGAAATCTGGGGGGAAAATAAGCAGACAAGGGGGACAAGGGCAAACCAACAACCATGGGCGGCAAGATTGATTGCTTCTTGGATCTCGGTGAGTCTTGGACGGCGCCTTTTCGGGGGGCCTCGGTGTGTCCCGATTGGGGCGATGCTGTTCCCTTTTCTTGTCTTTTCTTATTCGATATTGTGTTTTTCTTATGACTGATGAATGCATTCCCATGGTTAGCATCCTATTTTGGCTATATCGCGTTCGTAGACTTGGCGCAGAATCGAGACAAGTTGGCGGCCTATGGAGTCGAAATAGAGTATGTCACCCCATATGCTCCCCTTCATGAACATAACCGCATGATTGTGTGCAAGAAATCGCTGTACTGGATCAAATACTCATCTTTTGTTTTCACTAGGATACATCCGGTGCTGCTGGGCGGCATCAACCACATCTCAGGTATTCCATGACTTGGATCAATATCATTCAGCGACATCACAACATGGTACTGACTGGCCATACAGGGAACCGTCCTCCGTGGACAAACGAGATCAAGGCCAAATATCTGAAATATGACTCTCGTCGTGCCGCCGAGCGCGTCGGCCTATTCGGTATCCAGGGCCCCCCAGACCTCATGGCCGTCTCCCACACCATCTCGCCACTGCGTGCACTTCACTACATCAAGGCCAACTACCCAGAAGCCACATTCCTCGCCGCCTTTGAGTCCTGTTTAATGGCCTTTTGGAGGCCTCCCCACGTCAATCTCATCCCGGAGGAGAACCTGCGCGCCGTGCTGCAGGGGGCGACGGAGAAGCCCGGCAAAAGCGGCAGCAGGAAGCTTTTCACCGAGGAGGAGGTGGAAACGATCATGAAGGCCCGTGGCGGGATGAAGGAGGTTCTCATGGCCACTACCCAGAGGGCGGCTGATCAGGGGGCCTTTGGCACGCCTTGGATGTGGGTGACGAATGCAAAGGGCGAGCAGGAGCCGTTTTTTGGTAGCGACCGGTGAGTTTTTATGAAAGATATTTCCCCTTGTTTGAGAAGGGATGAGTTGCATCTAAAAGGGGCTTTCATTGTGCTGACTGGATTCAGATTTCATCACATTTACAAGTTTTTGGACATTCCCTTTCAAGATATTGCGGTGTTGCCACCGTCAAAGTTGTAGCGAAGGCTTGGTAATGGATGATTGGAATTGTAATAACTACGTTAGGTGATTAATTAAATGTTTCATGTATAATCTGATAGTTGAAATTTTGTGATCCATATCATCCTTTTCATTGTCTCTGCTCTGCCATATCCACCAATGGCCTAATCTAAGGACAGCACGCAGCTATTGAACTTTCACTGCGCTAAACTTGCAACTAAACCACTGAACTTACACCATTTACCACCACTTACTCATCCCCATATCAAACATACGACATATCTGCAATGGCATCGCCAGAACTCACCCTCATTGTGGCCGCCACCCGCAGCATGGGCATAGGCTTCCAGGGCACGATGCCCTGGAAAGGCCTGAAAAGAGAAATGCAGTATTTTGCCCGCGTGACGACTCGAGTTCCGGCTTCTTCATCACAGGTAAGATGAAGAAAAAAAAAAAAAAAAAACTTGTTCCCTCTCATATGAGCTCCATCTCAACAAACCAGGGTTGCTTTGGCTGCTATTTAAAATTTGTTCTATTCATTTTCTAAAACATAAAATAATCATGTACATACGAGCCAACTTGCTAACTAGACTCCAGACTCCCCAAAACGCAGTCATCATGGGCCGCAAAACCTGGGACTCCATCCCCCCCAAATTCCGGCCTCTCAAGAACCGCCTCAACATCGTCATCACCCGCTCAGCGCCCGCCAACCCGCCTTCTCCCCCGCCAACAGGCTCTGAGATCCGGGTGCCGTCCGTGGAGGCGGCGCTGCGTGTCGCGCAGGAGGCGAATTCGAGCGGAGGGCGCGTCTTCGTCATGGGCGGCGCGCAGATCTACGAGGCGGCGCTGAGGCATCCGGCGGCGAAGCGCGTGCTGCTGACGAGCATCGATGCCGAGTTTGAGTGCGATACGGGTTTCCCGCTTGACTTGACGGGGGAGGCGGTTGATGGGTGGAAGAAGAGGTCGAGAGAGGAGCTGCAGGAGTGGACGGGCGAGGAGGTTGAGGAGGGTGGACAGGAGGAGGCGGGCATCAGGTATGAGTTTCAGATGTGGGAGAGGAGCGAGTGAGTACGAGCATGAGCGTGAGTGTGAGATTGGGTTTGTTTTTTTTCCATCTATACATCAACAAAGTTCTATATACCAGGAGGTGGTGTGTTGGGCCCTCCGCTTGATGCCAACACACTCGTACACTGCATTATTATATGCACCATTCAAAGAAGAGGGACTCATCGGCTCGAGCCTCCGTCTTCTTCTTCCTCTCTTTCTTTCTTGCCCATGCCACCATTTTCGCCCTTGACACTATACATATATTTTACAGGTCCCGTAGTCACCATTTTGCTTTTTGGTCGTCATCGTCATTGTCGTTTTGATTCGCCCTTCCCTTTGATTCAAGCAGCCTTGGCCACCTCGGGCGTAGGCTTTACTTCTTGGCTTTCCTGCACAGCATCCTTGCCAACCTCCTTCTTGAACGGTTCCTCCAGCCTCGTCCAAAACACATCAACCGGCCTGGCCAGCACCTCCAGCGCCCTATTGGGCATGGCCATGTCCGAGGCGCTCTCCAGCGATACAAGGCCCGATCTCATCCATCCAACAATGGCCACCAACGCTCGGGGGTCGACCTCGGGGTCGCCCTTGAACAGATTCCTCCACACGGCGCTCGCCAGCACGGCGTCGCCCTTGATGAGGCCCTCGTCGTATGCAAGCAGGAGGCCTCGCCACTGGACGAATATGTCCTTGAGGTAGCGCTGTCGGAGGGCGCTGGATGTGATGTTGTGGTCAATGTGCATCTTCTTCTCGCACTCGAAGAAGAAGTGGTCGATGAGCTGCTGCTGCCAGTTTCGGTATGCGTCTCGCTCGAGGCATCGTACGCGGGCGTTGATGAGGTAGAGGTGCAACATGGTGACGTGCGACCAAGTGCTAAACGTGGGCGGTAGTTTGAAGGCTGCAGTCCGTTCGTTAGCAGGTGTGATGTGATGTTTTTATCCTGGACCGGAGTCGAAACATACTATTGTGCCAGATGTTTCCCTCTTCCAGCGCCTGGCCAATCTCCTCGCCGTCGTCCAATCTCTCTACTTGATCGTTCTTGCGCTCCTCCTCGGTGATGTGATAATCAGCTGCTTTGGCACATGCCTTGAACAGTCTCTCCGAGGCGCCCAGAACTCGGTACGACTCCCCAATCGAGCTCCCAAGTCCCCCCAAGAGCCTCCTAGAGCTGGAGCTGCTGAAGCTCCGGGACGGCGGCGACGATCGGACGGGCGCATTGGCATGAAGCAGCGGCAGAAGAACCGATTTGGCGGCCGAAGACCGGGATACTGATGTGCGGGATGCGACCCGGAGCAAGGACCGGGCCTGGGATCTGCAGCTTTCGCAGGCCATTGTGGAGAAAGAAGAAGAAGAAGAAGAAGAAGAAAATAATATAAGATTGCGAAAAGATTATGAATTAATTATGGTGAGCGCTTCGGGAGGGATCGAATGGCCATGAGGGAGAGCGGACGTGGGCGGGCGAGCTATATTGGATGGATTTTTTTTTCTCTGAACATGGCCCGGCAGCCTTTCCATGACGCGGTGGATTTGCCTTGTGCGAGGAAATTGGCTAAGACGATCGGATGGTTGGTGGCGGCTGAAGTTCGGCTGGCGGTTTTGTATGTAGAACGCATGGAGGGGCAGATTTTCGTGGAGGATGGGAGAGGAGGGGTTGAGATGGGAGGGAATTCAATGGTTGATGCTTGACGTTTGATATAAGAGGATATTTTCGTTTTGATTTGTAGCTGAGAATATTGGAGAATGTTATTGGATGCTATTTAATTCTACATTGATGTGTTTGTTATATAATGTACAAGTGCCCTATTCTTACAAGCCAGGTACCTACTCAAACCTGGAAAACACAAGCGTGCTGTTGGTCCCCCCAAATCCAAAGCTGTTGCTCATCGCAACTTTGACTTGCTTCTCCTGAGATGTCAAGGGGACAAGATTGAAGTTGACGTCTACATTGGGCCGCGCCAGATTCAGAGTAGCCGGCACGACTCCCTGTTCATCTTGTTAATATCTGACAGACACAGTAGAGCTCCTCGCATGGGCGAGTGGAATGAAGACGGGGGTTTAGACTCACATCGTGAATAGCCAAGATGCAGAAGAGAGCCTCGATTGCTCCAGCTGCACCTAGCAAATGCCCTATTGCGCCCTTGGTGCTGCTTACAGTGACTTTGGATTCGGATGAAACGCCTTCGTCGCCCATCATAATCCGCTTGATGGCGGCTGCTTCAGCCGAATCTCCCACCTGCGTGCTCGTAGCGTGTGCATTAACGTAGTCGACTTGAGACGGCTTGATGCCCGCGCTCCTCAAGGCCCTTTTCATGGCGAGATATGCTCCATGTCCATCTTCTCGGGGCGCCGTCATGTGGTACGCATCACCGCTGCAGCCGTATCCGCTGACTTCGGCGTAAATCTTGGCCCCCCTGGCCTTTGCATGCTCAAGCTCCTCGAGCACGCACACTGCCGCTCCCTCAGCGAGGACAAAGCCGTTGCGATCAGCATCAAACGGGCGACATGCCGCCTGCGGACTGTCGTTGTATGCTGTGGCTAGGGATCTGGCCCTGCCGAAGCCGGCAAAAGTGAGAGGGTGGATGCAGGACTCTGATCCTCCAGCAACCATGACGTCGGCATCTCCCAGTGCGATGAACCGAGCTGCGTCCCCAATAGAGTGAGCTCCTGTAGTGCAAGCCGTCGTTGCGGCATGGTTTGGGCCTTGGAACCCGTGCCTCATGGCAATGTGTCCTGCCGCCATGTTAATGAGGAGCTTGGGCACGAAAAGCGGCGATACTTTTTTATATCCCTGTTGTCGACATTGTGTCAGTCTAATGAGGACAATAGGCACCTGTAGGTGGGCATAGATGGAGTTTGATGAGCTTACATCTCTACCGTGAGACAGACTCGTGTCATACATCTCCTCCAGATTCCCAATGCCGCTCCCGAGGCACACTCCCGTTGCCTCTTGGTCCTCAACCCGGGAAGCCTCCCACCCGGCATCCTTCAAAGCCATGTCGCTCGCCGCAATCGCATACTGCGTAAAAGCCGACATGCGTCGCTGTTCCGCGGCACTCAGCCAGTCATCGGCCTTCCATAAGCCTTCAGCCTTGCCGCCAGGCCCTCGAGGAACGACACCCGCAACGGTGCACGTCAGCTCTCTCCATCGTTGTCGAGGTTCTCGATCCGCAACGCTGACGATGCCGGACTCGCCAGCAATGAGACGAGCCCATGTCCGTTGGATGCCGAGCCCGAGAGGCGTGATGGCGCCGAGGCCAGTCACGACAACTCGCCGCATTTTTTATGATTCCATGTCAAGATCTAGGGGGAATTCGGGTGAATTTCCTTTGGGCGGCGTTTTGCTAGATCTGATGAGAAATGCTCAAGTTCGAGATGAGTTGAGATGACTTATCCAGAGCACATGAAATGTTCAATGTTAAATGTTTGGGGAAATGGCCCGACCCGGTCTAGCAGCCTATTGTCGGCTAGTGCTGGCTGACCTGCACTAACCCTCTTTTTGCAGTTACCCAACTGCTTCACCGTCTGGGCGGCTCTTGCGACTTTGTCTCTTCAGGTTCTGTCCCAGGATTTATCCTTCGCAACATAAGAAAACAATCATCTCAATTCGTTCAATCGAGAGCTCATCTGCTGGAAACAACACGAAAGAATTATTCATTCAGTAATCACCACAACGAGCTCCCCGATAGACCCGAAACCCGTCGGGCACGGCTTCAGGCGCTTGTTCTATTGTCGCGTGGCCACTTATCGGAGGGAGCTTAGACCTGATAACATTTCAGAACCAACACGACAGACAATATTCATTCCACCTCCTTCAACTTCAAAATGGATGCTCCGAATTGACAGCAGAGAAGAGAGAAACAACTTTATGCTATACAAGTTTCTTTTATCACCGGCTTGCTCTCCTCAGCTGACCTAATCCCCGAATGGTCTCCCCCTCTCAGAATCTCACTGACATACATATACTTCAACCAGCGCCTTGAATAGAGGCGATCATGGACAACATGGCTGAGGCGAGTGGACGCGAGAGCGAATCCGGGCCTCATCCTCGGCATTCTCTTTCAAGCCCAACCACTGGACTCATGGAGAACCTACGGGAAAACATCTCCAAATGGCCCGATTCAGGCGTCCGGAATGACGCCGACGACGATGATCAAGGTTCCGAGTATGAGCTCCTCATGGACCCAAACTTGCCAGAGGGTCACGAATCCCGTGGCCATGCACACCCTGAAGACGGCTTATCCGATGATGAGTCCAAGAAAGCTGCAGACGAGGACGAGGAGGAGAATTCCCCATATCCCGAGGTTCGCGCCGCTGTCCACAATTTCGACGAAGATGTGCCATGCAATACAGTCCGCGCGTGGACAATTGGATTGTTACTTGTTGTTCTCGGGGCATCAATGAACACAATCTTTTCTCTGCGCCGGCCGGCCATTTACATCGGGGCTCTAGTCGCTCAGATCATTGCTTGGCCCATTGGTCATGGATGGGCAAGATTTGTGCCAGAACGAGAGTTCAACATATTTGGCCTCAAGTGGCAGCTGAACCCGGGCCCCTTTAACATGAAGGAGCATACAGTCATTGGAGTAATGGCGTCTGTGTCTTTCTCCGTCGCCTATTCAACAGATATCATCCTGGCGCAGCTGGTGTTCTACAAGCAGAATTTCGGATTGCTCTTCCAGATCTTGCTCACCGTTTCCACGCAGTCGTTGGGATACGGAATTGCTGGCGTTATGCGCAAATACCTAGGTTTGATACCTACACTTTCTTCGATGCGAATCCGCTTACATGGCAGCTAACCATTTGAACGTAGTGTATCCCGCATCGATGATATGGCCTGGAAATCTAGCTTCCGCGGCCATGATGAATGCCATGTATGACTCGAGTGATGACATTGACCCAACGGTCCTCGGCGGCAGGCTACCGAGGTATACATGGTTTGGCATCATTACCGCAGCATCCTTTGTATACTACTTCATCCCCGGCTTTTTGGCCCAGTTCTTGAGCGTCTTCGCGTTTGCAACTTGGATGGCGCCGCAAAACCCAGTCATCAATCAGCTGTTTGGTGGAAACACCGGCTTGTCCATTATACCCATTACCTTTGACTGGAGCCAGGTGACGGGCTACATCGGATCTCCTCTTGTTACGCCTTGGTGAGTGACACCAGCCCACCCTACCTGCTGCATTGCTCTTGATAGTAACGGCAACATAGGCACGCGATTGCCAATACCTTGATCAGCGTGGCCATATTCTATTCAGGTTTGACGATTCTACTCCACTACTCTGGGACATGGTATGCCCAGTTCCTACCCATCAACGACGCCAGCATCTACGACAATACGGGAGCAAAGTACAACATTAGTCGCGTCGTGAATCCAGACATGACCCTAAATGAAGAAGCCTACCATAAATATTCACCCTTATTCATCAGGTCAGTTCCAGTCTGCTCCAGAGTGGTTTCACCCCATGGCTCATGGCTCAATAGCACCACATTTGCCATCTCATATGGCCTGTCTTTCGCCGCCATCTCCTCACTCGTCGTATATACGTATCTGCACCACGGCAAGTACATTTGGAGGCAGTACATGAACAGCACCACGGAAAAGCCGGACATCCACATGAAACTGATGAGAAAGTACAAAGAGGCCCCGACTTGGTGGTACCTCTCTCTCTTCTGCATAGTCAGTTTGCTCCCACCCTCTCCCAATTTCCCAGCAGCACAGGCAACCATCATCTTCGGCACCCGCTGACATCATCGTACGTGATGTAGATGCTGGCATTGGGCTTCTATACAGTGCTCGCGTACCCAACCAATTTAAGTTGGTGGGCCTTTTTACTGGCCGTCACCATTTCGTTCGGCTTCGCTTTGCCAATCGGTATCATCCAGGCCGTGACGAACAATCAGATTGGCTTGAACGTGCTCACGGAGTTTGTCTACGGCTACATCCAGCCGGGACGGCCTCTAGCGCTCATGCTGTATGTTTTTATCCCGCGTTTTATGCAATCCTGACAAATGTGAAATGATTCTTGTTCATTAACCATGGCTATGTACATGATTAGTTTCAAAACGTTTGGATACATCACAATGTAAGTGCATGACATACAATAATACCCTTTGTAGGCAATCTTCTTACCGCCCACCGAAACAGGTCCCAAGCACTCAATTTCGTGTCGGATCTTAAATTCGGCCATTACATGAAAATCCCCCCCAGGACCATGTTCATGGCCCAGGTCGTCGCCACAACGTTTTCGTGCGTTATCCAAGTCTTGGTTCTTAACTTGGCACTCAACAGCATCGAAAATGTATGCGACGACCAGCAACCCGACAACTTCACATGCCCAGGCGGAAGAGTATTTTACTCTGGTAAGAAGGCCTCCCCTTTCATCTCCATTGATTTTACATGTTGATATTTTTTCTAGCCTCTGTCATCTGGGGCCTCATTGGCCCAGGCCGAATGTTCTCCCCGGGCCAAATCTACTCGGGCCTCTTCATCTTCTTCATCGTCGGCGCAATCACCCCAATCATCATCTACTTCATTGTCAAGAGAAACCCGAAATCCCCCGTGAGATATCTCATCGCGCCGCTCCTCTTCGGGGGTGCCGGCGCCATCCCGCCCGCCACCGCTCTCAATTACTTCTCCTGGGGCTTCGTGGGCTTCGTCTTCCAATTCTGGATCAAGAAGCGCTACTTCCGGTGGTGGACGCGCTTGAACTTTTTGACGTCGTCTGCTTTGGACTTGGGCCTGGCGCTGGCCACGCTCTTTATATTTTTCGCGTTTACTCTGAATGGGATTGATCCTCCGAAGTGGTGGGGGAACACTGTGGTTGATTCAACGATGGATTCCAAGGGTACGGCTGTGAGGGCCCATGTTGCACCGGGAGAGCATTTTGGCCCCAATTCATGGTGAAGACGGACCGGATAGTTGTCACAAGGAGAGCTGTTTATCTATAGAACATGTAGGTCTGGGCAGTTTTCACGAGGATCCCGGGACCAAGGAGACCATTGCGGGGTGAATGCTATATAGATTCGAATTTTTCTGAATATAGTCATAAAAGATATAAACAAAGGGAAGTTAATAAACATGAAACGAATGTGAAAAACAAAAAATAAAAATAAAAATAAAAAATATAAAAAATTTATAAAAAAAAAAACTTCCCCTTACTGTTCTTTCATATACCTTCAGACAGAATAATACCTTCGCCGTCTTGATAAATATCGAGATGAAATAAAGGGTTTCAAACTATTTTTTTTTCTCTTTCCCGACCCATCAATCCTCCTCTTCAAAAATAATATAGTCTTCGACCCCTTCTTCGAACTTACCCCGTTTCCAATCCTCCAAGCCAGCTCACTTCTCATCGACGTACAGATAATGTCCGCCAAAGTGAGCTCTCTCCGCCTCCCGACTCGCGCCAGGGGCGGAATAACCCCTAAAGCCGCCTCCGTGGGCCTGGAAAGCAGATTGCTCTCCGTGAGACATCATCGCCGAGTTATAGTCGTGCGTGTAAACTTTGGGTTCCTCCGAATCCATGGGCGACTGGAAATCAGCGGGGCTGATTTGATCGAATTCTTCAAACTCTTGTTCGATTCCCATGCCGTCTGGCTTGACGAGCATGAGATCTGCTCGTCGATAAAGTGAGCGAGGGGCGTTTGAGCGCCTCGGCACCGTGGGGCTGGTGGCAGAAGGCATGCCACGCTCTCCTCTCATCACCAGGGGGCCCATGCTCTGGATATGAATGCTCGATTGCCGAGCATCGGTCTCGATGTGATGATAGTATTCCATCGCATCGGACGAAGATCCTCCACCAATAGGGGTAGAGGGCTGGTGGTGATGGTGGTGGTTGCGTCGGGCACTAAGGCTCTGTCTTCTGGTGTGCAAAACCTCCTCAGGGTCACCGATGTGGCACTCTGGCAGGGCGGGCTCAGATTGCTCGTTTGGCACCGAGGATTTCAAATGCTTCTCCACGTCTGCCAAGAATGCCTTGAGAATGTAGAGCATCCTTTGAGCTTGAACGTCTACAACGGCGCAGTATTCCATAATATTGATTGCGCTCCTCATAGAGTCGGCGTATTGCTCGTTTTCATATAGTCCAGCAAACTCGTTACTCAAGATGATCAGGGCTGCCGCAAAAAGGAAATATCTGCAACCGTGATGATTAGCAAATATCGTTTTGGGAGACTCCGACTAATGCCACTTCACTTACAAGATAAAAGGGTTGCGTTGCGGCAAATACTTTGCTTCAAACGCCGCCTGAATGAGCGTCACCGAGTGAGTCGACGCCGCCACGCAAGCCTGAGAAAACTTCTCCGATCTCGTAAATGTTCGATGGAAAGGTTCCACATCATTCGAGATCGTTGGCCGCGTCTTCACCAAAAGATCAATAAAAAACGGCCTGCTTAGGAGAAGGATTGAGTGGTAATGAAGGAGCTGCACATGCAAAATGGGGATCCCCGTTTCCGACGGCGCCTTGCCGTGGAGGAGATCGTGCGCTGCCAAGGACGGATCACCGTTAAAAGCCCACAACTGGCAGTCGTCGACAATCTCCTGAGCCAACTTGGTTGAAATCTTTCGTTCCGAGTAAACCTTCTTGAGCATTGTGCCGATAGACTTGGAAATCCGCACAGACGCGTCAAGGTTAACGCTCCTGATGACTTCTCCCTGTTGGGCTGCTGCTGGCGAATGTAACGCATCACTCGAGCAGTCTTCCTCGCATATTGCAGCAGGGCGCCCGAGAGCCGTAGCAAGAAATCTGTCTAGAACAAATAAACTTCTCCAGAGGTTGCGCCTTGCGGTTTCATCGTCAAACTTCATCATTGTGTCCCGGATGCGATGCAAACCGAGAGAATACGCAGAGCGCACAGCCATTCCTAAGACTCGGGTTAGGGCAAAGATATAAAAAGGGAAAGGAATGGAAAACAGGATGAGGTTGGAGGAGGAATTGACTAACCGCAATATGCGTATGCCGCGTTGCGCTTCGATACAATCAACATGTAAAACGCCATCAGTGTCCAGGCCTGAATCGTCCATAAATCTGCATGTTCAGCCACATTCAGAGGATCACTAAGACACTTGGCAGCCCGAAACAGGGCTTCAGCCCGTCCTTCGGGCCCTTCTGGGAAACTCTTCATCATCAGCTCCTCAGGGCTGTTGGGGGCTGGTGTTGCAAGGATAAAACCAATTGCCAACGTCAGATAAACCAAACAAAGTGTCGAAGAATTGACCTCCATTGGGGTCGAATAACATGCATCTAGATACTGATAAAAAGTTGCTCGATCAAACAGTTCTATGAGAGCATTGGTCTGTAGCGAGGATTAGATTAGCAATTGGCCGTAATGTGATGGTATGTTGTGTTGTGTCAGCACATACATTAACAAAATAAGATTGAGCCAAGAAATTCGATACATCTCTATTGGGCAGCATATACTGTATCATGGAACTCGAAGAGGTTGCTGTAGCGGGCTCCAAGATGTGGTGTCGGCTGGGATCGTCTGTAAACGCAGACGACCCAGTCGTGTTAAAAACAATCATACGGATTAACTGCAGATACGAAAGGGTGGACGAGTCTCCGATATAGACTGCAATTGATTGACATCAGCCAAACGGCCCGGAAATTGTGACCAAGGAAAATCAAAATCATCTTGTCTACTTACGGAGCCGTTTCATGGGGTCCTGCAGCATTCTGATTTGACCAATAACTTCGGCTTCTTCGTCCGATTCCGACGCGGTGCTCTGGCGGACGCTTTCGTCCCCCTCGCTGACGGAAGAAACCTCATAGACATGGCGAGAGTATTTTTCCTTGCCCTGGCTTCTCCTTTTCGCCTGTCGCGCCGCCTTGGCTTGCTTGGAAGCTCTCTTCGGGGACGTCTCGAGCGTGGCCTCGCGGGCAGGAGTTGCGCCGACGGCATCGACAGAGTCAGAGGCGTTGCTTTGCTGTGTCGGAGAGGTCGTATGGACGGCCATGAGTTTGGCAGGGCCTCGACCGTCCGTGTAGTCGCATATCAAGTTTCTCTTGATACACGTGTTGCACGGGTGAAGGCCATTGCACTTGGAAGCAAAAAGTCAGCTCATGCAGCGTACATAACCGAGATGGTGAGAGTAGCATGCGAGACTCTTAGCGAAGGCGTTTTCCATGCAGCTTGCTTTTTGTATGATACACCTCAGACGGCTTGGTCGTCCAAAGGGGCAATGCGTCCGCTTGCCAACACACTTATGCCGGTCAAGCCATGTTAAAGCCGGGCGCTGGTTGAATGTAGAAGATCTGTCACATTGCACAGACATATACGAACTGTACATATGCTGTGCAATCAAAAAATACCACCGCTCACTCGCATATGTTTTCGCCTCGCTCGGAATAGTTCGCTGCAGCTGAAGTAAGAAAATACCACTTTTTTCCCGCACGAACTGCCCATATTCCGTACACCGAACGCATGTTGGGGGTGACATGCATATCGCGACATTCGATAGTCAGAAATTGGAGCGTGGGAATGTGTAATAGCGCAAATAAAGCCGCGAGGTCAAGGCTCCCCTTTCCTTGTTTTTTTCTCGTCTTTCTTTCTTTTTGGGGGGGACGCGCACGTGTGTGTGAGTGTGCGAGAGAGAGGGAGAGAGAGGGAGAGGTAGAGAGGAGAGGTAGAGAGAGAGTAGAGAGGAGAGGTTGTGTGTGAGTGTGAGTGTGAGTGTGTGTGTGTGTGCTTTGTCTTGGAGTGTACACAAAAAGAAAAAAAAAGTAACGAGCCCCCAAATCTCTAGGGCCAACTGAATGAAATATGACTGATGACTCGTAGGCTCACCTTCTGCTTCCGGCGCTTGCAAGAATCACAGGCACGCGCAGTCCTTTGCCGCTTGTCGTCAGGAACTCTGGGTCGGGTCATGAGGGGCGAGAGGAGTGCTGTGCATCCGACAGATGCCCTTCTCTTTTTGCGAAGCCGGGTATCGTTCTTTTCTTGTAATAGTTACCAAAGGCGGAGGCACCAGCTACCGTAGAGCAATTCACAAAGCCTCCACGACAGCTCGTCTACCGTCATCGTGTGCACTTATAAGGCTTTGGTTTCTGCTACCCCCGCGTCTCGTGAGCTCTTTTGCGAAAAGAGTCGGCGAGAAGTAAGAAGTGCCCACGTGGCGGTAAGGCACAAACTTCCCCCAATGCTATGATGGGAGGTTATCGCCCCGTCACTCCCTATGCTCAAGGGTCTTCCCGGCGTAGATGTTAGCCCGCTAGTCAAGGGCTCTTGGGAAGCGATGGCTGTAAGATTGGATCGGGAGTATGCAGATTGGAATGACAACTGAGCAAGACGGACGAGGCAAGTCCCTATTCCACGGGTGATGATGTTAACACGACACCCCCTGGGTGCTGCAGAGACAGCCCGACGACGGCTTCGATTGAGTGGATAGCTGGGATGTAATGTCAGACTGAAAGTGCCAAACCTTTGGAAAGAATGGTGACACCTGGGGAAATATCAACCTAGTAACAGGGAACCGGTGTGCGATTTGCCTGACGTGTGGGTGGGACAGGAGCAAATACACACCCCCGAGCTGTTCGGACTCGAGCATATGCCGTTTGGTGGTCTGTGGCAAGTCCTCATTGGATTAATGACTCCGAGTGATTGGTAAAGATGTACTAGGGCGTAGCACCCGCCTGATCGTTCCAACACTGTTTGCTTGTTGTCCCAAAGGCCCTTCTTGGCGTCGGGCTTTGAAATTTCATGCCTGCTGCCCATCGGTGACGTAGCCGAGATCTCTCTCATCTTGGAGTCTAACGGCATGGAATATCTAACACGAATGAAGACTGATCAAGGCTTCTGCAAAAGCCGTCAACATGGAGACAGTGGCGTCAAGGATGGTCTCAGCTCCGTAGCCTCTGGTATTCTCCTTGTCTGAGCCTCGCCGCAAATAGCACTGAGCCGGTTGGGAAAGGCAGCTCCCATCTCCGTCCGAGTTAGGAGCTTGAGGCCCAGTTGGGCTTGCACCGATCGCGCTGTAGGTGGAGACTTGGCTCCTTCACCATCTCAGACCGCTCTGCAGCTGTATGTATAGCATCAGTTTGATGTATCTCCATTCAGCATGGGCCTATGAGACAGTGCGACTCTAGTACCGCGCATGTCATTTAAGCATCCTGGCCAAAGCAACCTTTCGGGGAAGCTTTATTGGCAGCTGAAACATTCGAGGATGATAAGGAGATTTGAGCTGCTGCCGTCGGGATAGCTGTTAGTGTTGGTCATATCCCGTAATACATACATATAGAGACAGACCTGGGATTGGCCGGTACCATCCGTCGAGCCAAGATTATGGAGAAGCTCATGTACAAAGCACGCTTATCGAAAGGCTTCGGACGTATCCCTCATCGTTTAAACGAGAGACGAATTACTGGGTCGTTCTTTATGTGATGTAGCGTAGGTTTTTTACATTCCCCCGCAGGAAAGCGTCATCAAGGATGTCAAAAGAAGGGAAAGCCAGTGGTTTGGCACTAGCTGATGATCATTAAGAGCAGCAGCAAACGCCAACAGGTTGAGACGTTCAATTTGGATGGGGGCCAATGATCACGAAATCCCGTACGCCCCCCATGGAGGAGATAGGGAGAGAAATAGAGAGAGTGAGAGAGAAAGAGAGAGCTGAGGGGGCGCATCGCAACACTGTCTCTCCTCGTCATGAACACGGGACGGCACATGCAATCTTGTATGCAATCCACTCGGAAAATAACATCACCATCACAGTATCTATCCAGAAAGAATACTGGGAGGCCTCGTGTAAGCGCAATTGTGGACGGGCCATCAACAAGTGGAGCGCTTGCTGTCAGTCTAACGAGGCCAAACGATTAAACGTGCATAGTTGGGCATCGTAGCCTTGTGTAATTTTTTCCACCGTGGATGTGCGTGTTGGAACTGACGTGTGTGCCGTTGGTTCGAAAAAGGGTGAGGAGAAATGAATTTTCTTGCCTCTTAAGTGGATGAAACTCAGGATACACAACATATCCTTGATCCTCTCATACTAATTGTTTTGTAGTCACAAGTGAAATTACCGGGATATTCGAGTAAGACAAGATCCGCCCACGATTCGAGGAGTGCCAGAGCGTCAGAATGACGAAAAGAGTCCATGGTCGACAGACAGGCAAGCATCGGGGAAGCGCTGGGTACTGCGTTCGGTACTCGCCCCCAATTTCAAACCGGCGGTCATGCTGTAGTGCCGATGTTCCCAGGCCAGCTTGGTGTCTGTCTGAAAATAGCGAAGCGGCTTATCCCGTTAGTTACATTCAACGACGTCTGAGCTTCGCGTGCGCCCAAGTCGATATACCCGAGCCCTGGAGACGGTTCGTGCCACTTGGCGAGCATAATGTGACGACGAGCCAGCTCATGCTTCATTCACAGCGGTCTGGCTTCTTAACGCCGTGGTTGATTGCGCAGGGGCTTCACCAGGATAGTCACATGCTTCTCGACGAGCCTGCGTAGACACGTCTGAATGCAAATGGCGCCCCCTCGCATGCGTTTAGATAGCAGTAGTTTGCGAATCGATGGTCGCCATGCCGTTGAGCGTCCAAGATCGATGTCCGCGCAAGTCTAGACCGAAGACTAGCGCCCGCATAAACTTGAGAGCCTGATGGCTGCGAGCATCCCTTGCGCCACGTACTTCGTACCTGATGCATATCATCCATGCTACATTCACCGAGCGTACCCCGCTGGCCTCACATACCCAATGACGGAACAGTAAGCTACAGCCGGTGTAGAAAGCTCGGGGCCTGGCTGCCGCGCCATGGGATGATTGGAAATGGACGGCCAGGCCTTGACGCGTGCGATTCGATGTTTCCAGGATGCGGCATCGCCGCGAGTGTCCACGTGCCTGATCACCCTTGCATTACTAGAACATTTGGCCAAAGAGTACGAGTAGCGTGAGGGTGGTAGAGCTTCCAAGGGGGAAGTCCAACGTCGAATCTTGCCGTGCTGCAACCATTCCGTCGTTAGTGGTGAGGCGCTAGGCCATGAAGAGCAATCCTACCTAGAGCACAGCTGGGTTAGAAGGAGAAACGTCGAAATCTTTCGGGCTGAAGATCACAGACTATCGCTCTGCTGTGAAACAACGGCAAGGATCATGGGACAAGGCAACTTGTTCTCATAACAAGGCGGACACTGGTGTCTCAGACACGGGGATATTGGCAAGAGAGAAAAAAAGGAGAGAATTGGGGGCAGAAAAGCTGTATGCATGGGACAAGTCATCCCTGTCTGTTCTGCAATGGCTCTGGCGTGTGGCTTTCTCTCCCGAAACCAAGCCAGTCGGACAAACATCGCTCACACGTAGCACACAATAGTAGGAGGCATAGTAGCAGTAGCAACAGTAATGGCAGCAATGGCAGCAGTACTCGCATGTATCCCTTGCTTACCGAACATTGGCAAAGGTCCCCAACTCGTCCCAGTCAGTGTTGGCTGTCGCCGCCGAGCTGCAGCCACCTTTCCCTTTGATTACGCCCGGCGTACCGTGTCTCGACACCGACCTGTCCTATGTCCAAGTGTCAGATGAGTCGCTGACAATGACATTGTGCCCTCCCTGCCGAACACTGACAGAAAATAAACTTGACCTCTCCACCAAAGACCAATCCGAGAATGGGTTAGAGTCCACCCCCTAAACCTTGAGCCGCTCGCTTCCTGTTCCTGCTCTCCCTCAGGTCAATCCCATTTCATGAAACAAGTAGAACGTGACAATGAAGATGGTGTTTAAGTATAATTGAAAAGTCTAGTTTTTGGGGGGCATGATTATAATTACAATTCAGCTGACAAGAAGGGGTTCAAATTCATATCAATGTCTCGGGCACTTCCTCCAGGGCGAGCTTGCATCGCTCTAAGAACAGCTCGGCCCTGGCCTTTTCTTCCTTGGGAACCAGCAGGCTAAAGGTGTGGATTCCATCGGCAGCAAGTCTAGCATCGAGCCTAGGGGTAGCCCGTTGGGCTGACGATGAGCTGGACTTTTTAGCAGGGCCGGCCAAGATGTCAATAATGTCGGATCTAGGGGAAGCCGTTCTCCGGGAGGCAGTAAATGAGTAATCGGGGATGGTGGGAACGTAGGCTCCCTGAGAGAACTTGGTAGCTTTGGCCTTGCCTAGGCCAAGAACCTCGTCGAACAACTCATTGGCAGTTGGCGCATGAGGTACGGCAGGCAGACGGCTGTTTGCAAATGCGGTGGCCTTGGAGATGAATGTGGCCGTTGAGACGGAGACGTCGGCGGAATCATGGAGACGTCTTTGCAGCTGCACAACGTTTTCCAATGAGATGGGGAGTTGGACAAGGACCTTTTCCTCCTTGGGAGCAGCTTTCGGAGCTTTGGCCTCGGACGCCTTAGGGGTAGGGGTAGCCTTCTTCTTAGCTACCTTGATATTGCTCAAATCCAGATGAGCCAGCTTGCTAAAATGCGAAGACACCTTGGCGGGGCGATCAGCGTTGATAGCGCCGATGAAGGCCAATATGTCGCCCTTTAGTAGTCGTCCGCTGGGTCCCGTGCCCCTGATCTTGCTCAGATCCTCTTTGCTGATGCCATGCTCATGTACAAGAAGGCCGACTGAGGGGAGCAGCGGGTAGTTGTGCTCGTAGGTTCCGCTAGCAGCGGATTCTGGTCTCGCAGAGGGCTTCGCAGCAGACTTTGGCTCTTCCCGTGACGCCGGATCTGCGGGTTGTGAAGCGCTCTGGGCTGACTGCTGGGGCTGCTCATCCGCCGGCAGCTCGAGAGCGCTGATATCGTCTCCGGCATCGGCCAAGACGGCGATTCGAGTGCCCACCTGGACGCTCTTGCTGCCATCCTGAGAGACAATCTTCATCATGATGCCGTCGTCCTGGGCCTCGACATCCATGGTAGCCTTGTCGGTTTCGATCTCGAGCAAGACGTCGCCGGCGCTGAAGGAATCGCCCTCTTTAACCTTCCAGCTGGCAATGTTTCCTTCCGTCATTGTGGGGGAGAGGGCCGGCATGGTGAAGTTCTGGGCAGCGAGGCATCGCGACGAAGTGGTGAAGCCTGTAGAAGCGGCCATGCCAAGTTAGCCACCGACTCTCCAAGGTTCTCTGCATCTCGCCGTCCATGCTGTCCTCTGCATTTTATACTCCGGTGCGAGGGTTTGCGCGCAACGGCGCACGGGACACGGGAGACGTACCGCGGGCGGCCCGGCCGCTTGCAAGGCGGGAGTAAATGCGGCACGCCGCCGCAAGTGAAGCCATTGGAGCCCAATTGAGCAGACGCAAAGGGCGAGTTTTTGGTGGTGATGCTCAAGCGAAGAGGCGCAAATGCTCGCAGATGAGAGCTTTCTTTGCTGTTGGGAATCGGCCCTGTTGAAAGGCGCGCACAGACCACGGGTCTTTTTTTGGTGGGGTGCAACTCTCTTCCAGGTTGTAAGGCGCCGGGAAGTTTCTGGTTCTGGTACTAACGGAACGCCGCACGGAAGAATCCGTGGAAGCTTATTTTTAAAAAGTGAAGAAGAGAATTCATACAAAAATGACAATCATGTAGTTTTACAATGATAAATTTATTCTTCAGAATATAGCTTAGTAGCTATATTACATTATCTGTGACTCGTTTGGTGCTCTGCGTCGAAGGGTTTAACGTCCCATTCATCAAGCACCAACGAGGTACTACAACAGCTTTCCTGTAGCGCAAGTGGAGAATGCGCTGTTTTCAAGGGACGTGGACGCGCACATTAAACATGCTTCCAGCTTAGGTACAGGCTTAACAAATGTTATCTTAGCGCAAGAGGATCTGCTGATTATCAACATTTTCTACATGTAAGTGCTTTGCGATGGCTTCACCACATCGGCCACTGCAAGTGATGGCAGCCGCTTTATGACACAAGAAGCCAATTGAGCCACCCGGAGCCAATTCTATCACAGTTCATTCATCAACACATCTCCAACTTACCGCTGCCGTCCAACCATGGCGAGCTTCGCGAGGGGCCTTCGCCTCTTCCCGTGCCCTCGAGGGCCCGTAACCCCGCGAACGATTCTCCCAGACCTCACGTCCACTCAATCCCGATTCTTCACAGCGTCATTGCGACTGCGCGCCTCTGCGACACCGAAACCCCAACCTAAGCTTCCTAAAGACGTCAGATCGAAATCACCGACAAGCCAAGCGAATTCCCCTGCGTCGCCGTCAGCCTCCATAGCCCCCAGCCGATATGCCTTTGTGAAGAGCTTGGCGTCCAAGCAGACGCCAACCCTGCTATACGAAGCACCCTCACATTTCTGGTTCTATTTTGGATGCTGGTCGAGCGGCCTGTCTATAATCACCTGGACGGTGCTGACCGGCCCAACGGCTATCCAGCAGCCAGAAGGCATCCCGCAATGGGTTGGCTTTACCTTTGGAGCGTCATATGCCCTGCTTGGAGCCATGGGCTTCTATCTCATCTCAAAGACCCCCAACATTGTCAGCAGCATCCGTGTGTTGCCACCCCTTCAAGCGGCGGGCCAAGCGGCCACACGACCAGGAATCGCCGCCGGCGTGCCCCAACTCGAAGTGACAGTCAAGCGAATGGTCCCCTTGCTTCAGCCAAAGGTCATCAGGACAGAGCTCGATAATGTTGCACTCAAGACCCGCTTCTCGCTTCCGAGCGAATACGTACCGGAGCTGAGAAGACTTGAGCTGCAGCTCGAAGAAGAGGCACGGAAGAAGGCCTTGTTCAAATTCGACATGGAGCATCTCTTCACCATGCCTTTCCGAAGGATTGGCCGTGCTTTTGTGAACATGTTTCAGGGCGTGAGGGCGGCATGGACAGATGTGGGATACGGCATTATCAAGGTGGACGGAAAGCAGTACAAAGTAGACGTCACAAAGGGGTACGCCCGCGACGGATTCCGAACGCTGGAGCAAATTATCAATGTAGGATTCAAATAATCAGGGCTGAGAATGCCTCGGCAGTTAAATGTACAATACTAAAAGGCTTAATCTAGACCAACTAATGTGTTTCGGAATAGCAAAGTGTCTGCAGAAATCACAGCAATGACTCCATCCCAGTATCTTTAGGTTCCGAGCTCGTTCAATACGTCCTCTGAATTAAGAAAAGAACATCGCTCCCTGATTTTCTGCGAGACCAAAGCCGGATTCGCCCGGTGGCCATCAATGTAAGAGAGGCCCTCATCCAACCCCCCAACGACAAAGACCCGGGTCTGGCCTGGTTTTTCAAAGGCTGGTTGGAAACCCTGAAACGTATCGCGGCTTGGTAGCTCCGGCTCGCCAACGCTGACAAAGGTAGAGAAGGACCTTGAAGCCCTGACTGTAAGCTCAAGGTCAGAAGATGAAGGGTTGAATGGAACACCATCCATCTCATAGTGCGAGAGGTTTCCAAAGACGTATGCAAACTCGGCGGTATGAATAGGGCCCATGCCATGAGGATGGCCAAGATGTTCCAAAACAGGGCCCAAAATAGTCTGGTTCCAGTGGTAGAAGTACACTGTATTTGCGTTCCGCTCGGCAATACCCTCACCAAAATAAAGAGCTGGGCATGTCATGACAATGTCTCGAAATATCCTGGCAGAACGATAAAACTCTGCGGACAACTCTCCGTTGGTGGCGAATTCAGACCCAGGATATAGCGAGAGAAGCTCGTTGAGATGTCCACTGGACAGATTTGGCACATAATTCGCGATGAAACTTCGAGTATCATCGGCAGTCGAGATACTCTCATCAGTAAAGAGTGTGACGTCGTCCTCACACCAACTCAACATCACATTGAGATTCTTGGCAAAATTCCCCTGCCCAAGGAGAGCTGAAGGACACTCCGGGAGAAAATCACCGTCGATAGAAGGCAGCCAAATGTCGCCAACGTTGATATCGGATCGATAAGTCTTCAGAGATGCCTGGAGTAGAGAGTCCATAGTATGGTTACGAAGACAGAGTAAGGTATCGGAAGAATGAAAGTCGGTCTCGTTGCATCCAACATAGTCCACAACGGCTCTCATGGCATTTTCCGTTATATTTGAAACGACCCCAGGCTCCAAGGAACCGCTTGAGGCGATTGCATTGTGGAAGGGCACAGGCTGCTTCCCACCAAATGATAGGATATGCATCCCCACGGCCAGACCTACATCGCCGTAAAAGTGATCAGCAATGACGATACTTGTGCATTCATACAAGTGAATCTCATACCTCCAGAAGATTGGCCAAATACTGTTAGTTTGGAGGGATCGCCACCGAAATGCGCAATGTTATCTTGAACCCACTCCATGGCAAGTCGTTGATCTCTCAGTCCAGCATTGTTCGAGCGCTCCGCCTTCAGAGCATCGGACTGAGCGAACCCAAAGACTATATCCGTGTAAGTCATTACATGCCCAAGGAGCATTGAAGCCATTTCAACTTACACCCAAGGCGATAATTCATGCCAACGTGCATAATTGGAAGCCCATTCTTGACCGATTCAAGAATCAGGCCATCCGGAGTAGTAGTTATCTCGCTGTTCTGACCGGCCCAGAAGCTACCACCATGAATATATATCATGACAGGGAGCAAATCATTTGGCTTTGTTCCTTTTGGTCTGACAATGTTAAGATTCAAGCAGTCTTCCGAAATCCGAGTGACATTTGTCAAAGACAAGGGCGCTACCCAGCCTCCCAAGGCCTGAGGACAAGCCGGCCCGTACGAATCCGCGTAGATGGTACTCCCAGGGACTGGCACATGAAGTCGAGGCGGCTTGAAACGATGCGCGCCGTCCGTGGACATACCATACGCTATGTTCAAGAAGGCTTCCACCCCATTGCGATTGATGCCCCGGTAGGTTACATCACCATCGGGAATGGTTGCGGACGGGGCCAAAACAGCAAGACTGTTGTGGACTAGCAAGCCCCAGATCGCGTGCAAGTAAGCAGACCGCATCCCGTGGCTGTCGAGGCGGACAATGCGATTTGAGAGCCGCGGGATACGAATAGAGACTGGGGAATGACACGATGAGGCTCCCACGAGGCGGTGGGAAACCGAATAAGGAGGTGCTATTTGTATATCTGAAGCAACTATTGGCATCCATGCAGATTTCAAATATCAGTATACTCGTACAGAGCTCAATGTTCCGTGTTTGTGTCCCTATGGGATCAATGCTCCGAGCACAAACAAGAACAAGGGCGGCAAGGATCATCAAGGTAATGAAACACGGTTTCACAGCAATTACCTTTTAGTAGCCCGGATGACACTTGTATACATGGATAGGAAGTCTCCCGAGAGGCGCATCTCGTAATACCCCACGAATGCGCGTAAGTCTATACTAATCCGAGACAGCCTCTGGAGTAGCATCATGTAATACCTCTTCTCTGCCTTGTACAGTATGACAGTGACAGGCAAGCCCTGATGTAACATCAAATGGCGCGGCCCACACATGAAATGCGATCGACCAGGTGCTCTCCGCACCTTTACCTTTTACGACGACAATATGGGATTCAGCAATACGAGTGTATATGCGGGTGCTCAGCTATTGCTTGTACGTGGTGTCTCCCCGCTTGCACGTAGTTTTCGCCAAGTATTGCTAATTAAATGGCAATCAACGGTATAAAGCAATGTCTGGCAGCAAAAGGCGGTGGATTTCTATGCAGAGTTCTATGTTTCACCTGAAACCTGCCTTTTGTCCCGCTCAGCTCTTAGTGATCTACATGCATGCAATATTTGTGAAGTTTCGACCCGGCGTTCAGCTCTTTCAAAGGTTGAAATTTCCACACTCGGTGAGAGCATCAGAAACTACTGTACATGTATCTGGTAGGGCTGCTATCAGATCCGCTCACTTCCCTAGCTTTGCAACATGAATTCCCAGTAGCAGATGACCAGATCGCCCTTGCACCCCTGCGGCTATTTGTTTTCTTGAGCCCACTCATACTACAAATAAGCATTACTACATGCATATCGAGGATGGAGCCGCTGAAATCGTCTGATGAACGGTCTGTGCTGAAGCTAAGCTGGGCATCGACCAGGCTATATGGGATTTGCCAGCTGAGACCTGTTGCCGCGGAAGCTACCCTGGCATTGCTAGATGTAAAGCGGCGTAGATTTGAGCTCTAGATTAATATCATATCGCACTACTACAATTTGTCGTGAGGCTTTTGATCTTAAATCCACAGGGGCTGAAGCCACACGCCAAAGAGGACATACTGGGGACCCAGGACAGCCACAACCCGCAGGTTGAGGGGATACGCCCAAGCTTTCATGGCTACTCGTGTAGTTGACATTAAGAATAGACATCTAATATCTCCAATAAATGGGAGGCTAGGTATACGAATTCAAAGATATATATTTGAACCTGAAGCCTAGTCCAAATCGGCTTGTACCTATATATATGAATATCTCTGTTAGCAGATGCGAAAAGGTAGAATGATTCGTAGACAATTGCTTGGCTCCAAGTACCGTACTTGGGATGTATACCAGCAAAAGAAATATATATTCCACAGACGCAGAATATGCTATTCAGCGAGAATGAATTTGCGAGCCCAGTTCCATTCGACAAACACCGCTTGCCCGTGTCAGCTTGTCGGCCGAGCAAGCACAATCAGAAGCGCCATCCGAAACACGCCATAGTAAAAAGTACTAGCCAAGAAAGAAAGCCCAAGAGAGAGAGTCAGATTATAGAGCCAAACCCCAGATAGACCGCCCTTATTTCCTCTCGATTATTCCTCCAACACCTATTCTGTAAACGCGTCTGCCTTGTATTAGTGGAGATGGTACTGGGGGACCGATGCTTGCCATCTCAACAACTACCGGGTCCGGCTATTCTCTGACACTTGACAAGGATTCAGTTTGGCTTCGTTTCGTCTTACTAGCATGGCTTCATGCAAGGGGCGATTGCTTCGCGTTCAACTGGTGAGTTCGCTGAGTTCTCATCATCATCAATGCTCACCACTTCTTGGTTTCCCGCAGGGCGACTCCCTTGGTGACGTGGCTAACCGTAGGATCCGACCATGAGAGTGTTTCCGTTGGACGCGGTGCGTCACCAGAGTTACAGTCGCTTAATGCGTCCAGGTTGTCCATACATGGCGGCATGCACCTCTGCAGCCCCCTCAAAGACCAGGCCATTTCTGCCTCGTACATGTGCATATGTACATGTAGGTGTATGCACTGCACATGCACTGATACGTGGAGGTGAGCCCGTCCCTTATGAGTGCATGTATGTAATGTATATGTACGTGGGTGGTATGTAGAGCAGCCCAACTGATCTGCACGGCATCGTATCAGCTTTATTGAATCCCATCCAATCTTTCGCCGGGCTTTGCTTTGCTTTGCTTTGCTTTGCTTGAGCCAGCCTTCTCCTGACTCGATTTCCTCCCGTTTGGCGGTCTCTTCCTCACACAGTGCAGCGCGCACAATAGCATTCTGCTAGCCCATATCCGGAGCTTTCAATCCTCAGCTGAACAAACGCCATCAACCTTGGGCAATTTTTTTTCTTTCTAATTTTCTTTTTGTCAATTTTCATCTTATATCTCGTATTGTCATTCTCCGCCATATTCATCATCTTGTCTTGTTATCAGAGAATCGCGATGCCGACTACGGTGGAATGGCTCAAACTACACATCATGCAAATACGACAACTACAACAGAGCGATGGCTACCACGAAGACGAGGACGTTTTCATCTACCTGGGCGACTATCTCGATGGAAACCTGACTGCCAATGAGACAGCAGTCTTAATAGCCGCACCTGTGCTGGACGACAACAACCAACCCACCAAACTGTATCGCCTCATGGGGTTGCTGTGCGAAGCCCTGGTAGAGTTGAGCGATGAGCGCGAGAAGCTGCTAGATCTTCTCGAATCCATTCAGGAACTGCCGCCTGGCGCAATCAACTGGGAAGTTCTCCCGGGACTTCGGAGCATGTGGAGTGACTTGTATCGGTCTCATATGCGTGGCTTGAACGGCTGGGAGATAATAGGAGAGCCAATACCTGAAGACAAGCAAGCCAAAGTACGTCAACATTATACCTCGATTGGTACAGTGGAAGCCAAACTGTACGTTCGAGGTCTTGGTGGCGTAACGGAGAATTGGGGCTACGAGCTCTTGAACCTGGCTTGCTTGAGGCGTCCGGGGCTAGAGGTTGTCGTGGGCGAGATACATGCTTGGCTTACCGTGGCCGGAACAAAGCTGTTGAAGGATTTGAATCCAGATGAGGTGAGAAACTGGTCAAGGCCTGTGCTCGGTGGGCAACCCGGACAGCAGCATGCTGTTCAAGGCACCATGGCACAACACTGGGATACTTGGCGACGCACGCTGTTGCAAGTCAGTGAAGAGCGGGATCTTCTATCAGCTGACGCGAGAAAACTTGCAAGAGAGTGTCATTTTTTGATGCAAGGGCATCATCTATAGATAGACAGGCTTTGAGCAATCGGTATCGGGACTTGGAACGGCATGATTTACAATATCAACAGCAATGTTGGGTTAAGGGTGAAGATTGGGTTTGTTGTTAGCTGCAGCTATATCCATCACTGAGAATGATGTCTACAATATAGATGGACTTGGTCCATGGGATATTTCGCATTCGCGTGATTCATAAACTGCCAAACAATCTTGTGTCGTATATATTTAGAGAATACGACCTGCCATATCGGCCATCTATACATGTACTGACTCTCACATATTCATTCGCCAAAAGAAGAACACTGTGCTCGGCAGGCATGTGCCACGCGATGTGTTACTCTATACAGGTACTCTCACTCTCCACGCGGGAAAACATGCGTGTAGGTATTCAGGAACAGCGCAACTTGTGGATCTTGCCATCGTGGCCTGTATAGTGTTGGTTAGTACACGCTATGCCAAACAAGACTGCGTGTGTGTACCATGCAATAGATCCAGAGTAGTATTCGAAACGGGTCGTTAATACGCTATAATGCAAGGACTCATACGAGTACATCAGTATTCGGAGAGACAATGTCATGTGTCACGGCGTAAGGTTTGGGAACCCGACTCTGCTATCCAACATCCCATGTTAAAAATCTTCAACTATATAGGTGATGGATGAGTAATATCATCAGAAATTACCGATAAAGAAACATTAGTAACTACATACCATGTATAGTAACAGATACTAGAAAATATAGCAATATTAGCAGATGGTGGATTAAAATATTAATAATAGCAGAAAGTAGTGATAGTCGTCTGTAGATGCCAACACATCTCGTAGCGAAACATACTTCTTCACAACACGCAGAGACATCTCTTGACTTGGATATACTCCGTAGCCTTCCACATGCTGTAAATTCACCGCATTCATTCGCCAATCGCCGTATAGCCGGGACCGTATCTGTGGAGTGGATGTCATCTCCAGGGTCCCACCATCTCCAACTCCCCACGTTGGCTGTCAAATCATGAACCATTACAGGACATCCCAAGCCCTTTGTAAGAACATTTTATATCCGCCATCCCCAAACCCTTTTCATCCTAGCAGAAATAGCCACGGCAGATCAGGCACCGAAAGCAAACCCTCACGCCACATTAAACCCCGAGCTACCTTCTGTGCCTGGATGGAACGTTGCTGACAGATTCCGTCTCATTGGACCTACTAACACCTTAGGGCCCCATTAACGCTCCGTATCGTTAAGCCTGTTCCACCATGCATGTTGAGGATGTCTATTCTAAATGTCGATAAGATGGACATTCCATGTAACAAAAGTGCCGGGGCCACCGAACGTATCTCGGCCCCAGACACCGAATATGCGAACGACGTGCGTCAATCGCTGTTTAAGCGTTGAAAGCCATCACTCAACGTTACATTGCAGGGTTCAGCTCCAGAATCGGATCGAGGCGCCAATCTTTCTTTCAATCTACTTCCTCTTCTTGGATAATCTTCCAATCTCTTAGGTTGTGTCACCGACAATCGGCATTGATAGGCCCCCAACTTACGGACAAGTGCCGCTCTGTCTCCCCAGCAACACCTCGCCGGGTTCCTCAACCCTTGTCTAGGTGACAGCTTCACGATCCCACGTGGTTGTCGCTTCAACGCTCAATCTTGCAGAATGCCATCATTAAAACCCCCGCACAAAAACTAGCTTCATGCGGCGATGACATCCATGTTCGCCGTGAGATTCTTATAAGAGCTCGGTCCCTCAAGCGTCCCGAACATGTCTTTGAACTTTCCTCTCTAGGAGAGCACATCGACTCCGTTGCAGCATCAGCAACTCGCTCGCCCCCGATGCGTGCCTTCAAGTCTTGCGTCTGGCTGCTCTCAGCCATTGGCGCTGCTGCGTCCAGCTGCGACCCGACGGCCGGCGTTGAATCTCTTGTCAAGCGCCGTCTGCCACACCATGTAGACTCGTTTGAGTTTGTCCTGGAGCCCGTGCAAGGCTCTGGCCTTACCAACGATAGCTATGCCGTCTCCTCGACAAAGAATGGAAAGATCCGAATTGAGGGCACGACGACCAGTGCTCTGCTGTCAGGGTAAGCTTCTTCGTATTCATCCTGTTTCGTACCAGCGCTGATGAGTTCTCCCAATGTGATGTTGCAGTCTTCACAAATATTTGTCTAGCGAGGCAAACGTCGACATTTGGTGGTACGTGGGGAGCCAGCTGGATCAAGCTCCGAAACGACTTCCCCAGCTCAAGTCTCCTCTTAAGGGTACCAGCGTCGTCCCTTACCGTTACCACTGGAACACTGGTAAGCTCAATTCCACATGATATGAATGCTCAATCGCATTAGGTACTGACCGTATCGTTCAGTCACAACCTCTTATACCAGTGCCTTCTGGACATGGGAGGACTGGGAGACGCAGCTGGACTGGATGGCCCTCCGTGGTATCAACCTGGCCCTTGCCTGGATCGGTGTCGAGAAGATCTTCATCGAGGTCTTTACTGAAATTGGCCTGAATGCTGACGAGATCAACTCATTCATCAGCGGACCTGCTTTCCTGGCGTGGAACCACTTTGGCAATATTCAAGGATCGTGGGGCGGATCCATGCCTCAATCCTGGGTCGACAGCCAGTTTGATCTCCAGCTCAAGATCTTGGATCGTATGGAAGAGCTCGGCATCACGCCGATCCTGCCGGCCTTCCCAGGATTCGTTCCTCGCAACATCTCTCGCGTGTTCCCCGACATTTCTCTGTCGACAAGCCCTCTCTGGTCAAATTTTCCTACGGAATTAAGCGGCGATACTTACATCAACCCATTTGACCCGCGCTTTGCTCAGCTGCAAAAGCTCTTCATCGGCAAGCAGCAGGAGCTATATGGAAATGTCACAAACTTCTGGACTTTGGATCAGTTCAACGAAAACCTGCCGCTCTCTGGAGACCTGGGATACCTTCAAAACGTCAGCCACAACACTTGGACTGCTCTCAAGGCCGCTGATCCCGATGCCGTCTGGGTTATGCAGGCCTGGCTGTTCTCAAGTGACAGTGCCTTCTGGACGAACGACCGCATTGAGTCTTTCTTGGGTGGTATTCCTGTAAACTCAGACATGCTGCTCCTCGACCTGTTTGCTGAATCTGCTCCCCAGTGGCTCCGGACCAACTCCTTCTATGGCAAGCCTTGGGTCTGGTGCGAGCTCCACGACTATGGCGGTAACATGGGCTTGTACGGCCAAATCGAGAATATCACCATCAACTCGATGGATGCGGTGCGCAACTCAAGCTCTCTCGTTGGGTTCGGCTTGACGATGGAGGGCCAAGAGGGCAACGAAATCATGTATGACCTGTTGTTGGACCAGGCTTGGAGCCCCAAGCCTATCGACACGGAGACGTATTTCCATGACTGGGTCTCGGCCAGATACGGCACCAAGAACGTGAAGAGCCTGTACACCGGATGGGAGCTTCTGAGACCTACCGTGTTCAACAACACCAACCTGACAGTTACTGCCGTGCCCAAATCAATATTGGAGCTAGTGCCCAGCATCAGCGGTCTCTTGGGTCGCACCGGTCACCATGCAACCGCCATCACCTACAACCCAGCGGTCATGGTGGAGGCCTGGACTGAGCTCTTCAAGGCCGGTCTCCAGGACATCCGGCTATTTGCCAACCCGGCGTACCAGTACGATCTTGTTGACTGGACTCGCCAGGTTCTCGTCAACAGCTTCGACGGCCTTTACAAGGACCTGGTTGATGCATACACCAGCTCCGCAAGCTCCAGCATCATCAAGTCTCGCGGTGCCAAGCTCATTGCTCTTTTAAAGACTCTCGATGCTGTGCTCGCCACAAACGTGCACTTCCAACTCACACCCTGGATCAATGAGGCCCGCGCAAGTAGCCCATCAACGGCCAACTTCCTTGAGTACAACGCCCGCAACCAAATCACGCTGTGGGGTCCTCAAGGCAATATCGAGGACTACGCCTCGAAGCAGTGGGCCGGATTGGTTGGCACCTACTATGTCGAACGATGGCAGCAGTTTATCAACTACCTTGCGGCAACCAAACCCGCAAACTACAACCAGACCGCATTTCACACGAAGTTGCTGGCCTGGGAGACGCAATGGGGACAACAGACCTCCACCAAGAAGGCAGCAAGCACGGGATCCAGCGATGTTCGGTCCGTTTTGGACACAACCATCAAGACTTGGGGTAGCCTTTTCAAGCTTTAGAAGTTCCATAGCCTTAGATGAAGACAAACTGAGTTGTTCTTTAAGCCACTCATCTATTGTCAGTAGTCCTTGTCATGTGTCAGCCTGTGATTTGCACTATAGGCCCGGTGGGATGCTTCCACAACTCTCGGTTCTCGCGGGACTTGGGATTGGCAACTTGGAGCTGCATCCTTGGGATTTAGTGCTTACTGACAGTAAGACATTTATATCTTTTGTTGTAATTGGTTACAACAAGTTGGAGACATAGCACATGGCCAAGTCTATGAGTCTATACCGCAGCGAGGTTGATAAGGCAATTGCGATTTGTAAGAAGGATTCTATACCCAACCAGCATGGTCCTAGAAGCAGCAGCAGTTTCCATTATGTTGACAGATCCACAACTGCATACATGTAAGTAACATTCATCGTTGCATAGCCGGTAACCGACATGCCACGGGATCGCGAAGTCTTTTTTTTGCGACTACTTTTTAGGCAACTGATTAAACTAGTCCTTCTTCGTTGTTCCGAGCTTACGTAGTGAGTGATATCAATTACCGCAATGCTAGCTTCTCTGTCCTGCATTATATCTCAATATGTGGAAGGCTATGAATATACATGTACTTGCGCTACTGGATTGAAGTCTTCTCACCGCGGGGCGGATGCTGGGCGGATGCTGGGCGGATACTGTTTTCACGTCTTTAAGCAGTGCGTCTTATTGCAGCTCTCTGTGCATGTGGTCTATTGTATGAAATAGACATAGATTGTTCAACTTACAGCATGGGATGAAGACAGACACACATCCGGGTCCATTTGTGGCCATACTCAC